CGTTCTATGAATGTTATGGTTGAATATTTGAAAAAAGAATTAATGCAATGCTCTCCTCTTCCTTGTAATGGTAAATTCTTTCATGTTCGATGTTCAGCTCATGTTTTAAATCTTATTGTTCAAAGAGGTTTAAAAGAAGTTCATGAAAGTGTTGAAAAATTGCGTGAAGTTGTTAAATATATTGATGCTTCTGATTCTAGATTAACTCAATTTGAGCATGCTTTGTCTGAGTTACAGTGTGCTTTTAATGGTAAGTTATGTCTCGATGTTGTGACTCGTTGGAATGCCACTTATAAAATGCTCCGAAAATCCTTAGAAGCTAAGGATGCCTTGATTCTATATACTAGTAGGTTTTTGGGTATTTCTTATAGACTTGATGCCGATGAATGGGATACCATTCAAAAAATTTGTGATTTCCTTCAACCATTTTATGATATTACTGTGTTATTTTCTGGTACTGAATATCCCACTGCTAATTTGTATTTTGTTAGTGTTTTAAAAATTGAGTACGCTATTAATCAAGCCCATAAAGACCCTAAACTTGCACCCATGGCAGCAGTTATGCTTGAGAAGTTTGAAGGTTATTGGGAGGATTATTGTTTGATTCTTTCAGTTGCTATTGCTCTTGACCCTCGTTATAAGCTGGATCGAGTGAGAAAAATGTTGAACTCGTTGTATGATGGTGAGGCATGCGACGAAAAGATTAAGATGATTAAGGAAGCTCTTTGTGAGCTTTATGAATTTTATTCTGCTGCATCTAATACAAGCTGCAGAAATCCTGCCCCTTCCGTCACATCTCAATTTGGAAATTCTAATCGCATGTTGAATTCTCAAAATATTTTCACTATAATTATGTTATACATTATTAATGTCAGTATTTTATTTTTATCAGTAATGTTATAATTGAACTTTTTATAAAAAAAAACTGTTTCAGTTGTGTGAGATTGATGATGACGAAGATGGTGATTCAGCTAGATGCCCTGTTGCTGATCTTGAGTCATATTTGAATGGGCCTCGTTCGCGAATAATTCAAGGGGAACATTTTGATGTTCTCAAGTATTGGGAATCTCAAGCTTCTTCTCTTCCTATTTTAGCTAATATAGCAAGGGATGTTTTGGCCATTCATATTACATCAGTGGCCTCCAAATCTTCTTTTAGTTTGGGTGGTCGTATTTTGAACAAATATAGGGGTAAGCTTTTGCCGAAGAATGTTAGGCATTGGTTACCACCCAAAATTGGTGTCGTGGTTATCAAGGGGATGTTGAGGAAGACGTCCTTGTTAGTAAAGAGATTGAAGCAGAAAGTGCTTCATCTACATAACAGGTATTTGTGCAGCCACACCCACTGCTCGGTGATGAAATTGTAAACTTAAATCTGAGAGCAATTTTTAAAACAAAAAATTGTAAACTTAAATCTGGTTACAATTCATGTTGAGCTGCTTCTGCTTATTCTGTTGCCTGCTTCTACTAAGCTGCTGATCTGTTGCTGCCTGAGCAGGTTCCTGCCTCCTACCAGCTTGAGGCGGCTGTTGTTTCTTCTGCTCTTGGGTGCTGTGTTGCTGCTTCGGTATTGTTGCTGCCTTTTGTGTTATGATAAGTTTTGTTGCTGCTGTTTCTTATGCTTGCTATTTTAATTTATCTTGAATCATCGTTGCCCTTGTCATTTATGTTGAGACTTCAATGTATATGTACTTGCTGGCAGCATTTTTCAAGTTTTAAGTTAAAACAACCATTGCTCAGTGATGATATGATAAACGTAAATCTGAGAGCAATTTTTAAAAACAAAAATTAGTTCTGAAGTTGGTTGAACTGATGTTTTGTCAGCTGCTTATCTGCTTTTGGTTGTTGTTCCTGCTGAGTTGCTTCTGCTTATATTATTGCCTGCTTCTACTGAGTGGCTAATATGTTGTTGCCTGAGTTGGTTCATGTCTGCTGCTGCTATTTCTTCTGCTCTTGGGTGTTGTGCTGCTGCTTCAAGATTGTTGCTGCCTTTTGTTTTTAGGATTGTTTTTTTAGGTTAAATTTTGTTATTAGGATAATTTATGATCATATGTAAAATGTAAATCTTAAACTTATTTATTTTTAATGTAAAATATAGATGAAATGTATTTTTTAGAATAATTAAATTTATTTATTTTAAATTTATATTTATTGTTACCTTTGTTAAATTAAAGTATATATATAATAATACTAGTATGTTACATTTTATATTAGTTAAAATAAATAAGAAATCTAAAACGACATCAATAATGTCGTTAGAATAGGTGATATATACCGTTGTATTAACCTAAGCCGTTTGATTATATCTACATTTATTAACTTTTTAACGTTGTAATCTAATACAACGGCATATTAAACGTATATGTTATATTTACAAAATTACTAATGGCTACAGTTAATTTACTTTAAACATTAATTGTATTTAGGTTGTAAATAATTCAATTTGAATTAAGCAGTTTGTAATCGGATTGGTTTAAACGGGTTGCGGTTTGAAAACAATTTGATTTTAACGGTTTAACGGGTTATAGAGGTTCGGTTTAAACGGTTAGCGGATTACAACGGTTCGGTTTAAACGATTTTTCCTGCGGTTTAAACGGTTTCGGTTCATAAACGGGTCGGTTTAAACGGTTAGCGGGTTAAATGGTTCGGTTTAAACGATTTTTTCTACGGTTTAAACGGTTTCGGTTTATTGACGATTTGGGTTAATAGCGGGTTTATAAACCATTCGGTTCGGTTTTGAGCAGTTCGGTTTGTTATCGGTCTACGGTCCGTAACGGGTTGATAATTAAACGGTTCGATTCGGTTTCGGTTTGACATTATACGGTTCAGTTCGATTTTCAGTTTAAAATTAGCGGTTTATAAACGGTTCAGTTCGTGACGGTTCGGTTCGGTAGCAGGCGGTTTCACGGTTCGGTTTGAAAAGTCCCACCCCTAGATAAGGGTAATAGGGAGGGAAACTGTTTGTTCTGTCATTCTCCTTGTTTTTGTAGGTCTTTTTCAATCTCTTTATTACAGGAAACATGAAGTCAGTTATAATTAGATTTATGACTTTTGACTCCACACTCTCCTATTCTTGAAATTTCAACAAACAATAACTTAACTTCAAATATGGTAATAACTCTTGTGTCTTTTGCAACCATTCAACTAGCCACAAACAATTTCGATGAAAATCAGATTATTGGACATGAAGATTTTGGGAGGGTGACAAGGTATACATGGGTAGGTTAGACAATGGTGTTGGGTTTTGCGGTGTCCGACACCGCACAGAAACAAAACCCGATAACCGGATCGCATGCATAATAATTATAACATAAACAAAAGCATGCAAAATAAGCATAAACATAAGAGAAGAGAGAGAGAAGGGAGATAATGCTCACCCTTGTAGCGTGCTTCGCTCAACCTGAGCTCAGACTTGAAGGCTTCAAGTTTCGCAAGTGCGAGAACCTCCGATGGCTCACACCCTCGCTACCGAACCGCACTGGTCCATAACTCGAAGCTTAGTCGGGGCTAGACCAAAGATAACGTAGAGTTATTAGAACAAAGGTTTTCTTTTCTTGGAGATCCCTTAAAGTTCACCAACTCAATTGTCTTTCCCAAATGCCAAATGATTGGTATTTATAGGGAATAGTGCTCTTGAAATCTCATCATCTTTCAATGTGGGATAGTTGGTAAAAAGGCAAAATAGAATTTAATTTAATTCTAAATTAATTTAAAAAGCCATGAAACAATAATCATATGACTAGTGTCATCACACAAAGAGGGAGTAGGTGGGAGGACCACCTTGGCCTTGGAGAGCAAGTCAAGGCTTGCCCCCACCTACTCGGTCAGCCCGGGCAGCTCCCGACCTTGGGTAGCAAGGCTAGCCTTGCGCCACAAGGCTAGGCACGCTAGCCTATGGCAGCAAGCCCGTTGATGCCACCGCAAGCCCACGCACACACGCAGGCCCAACAGTGGCACCCGCAAGCAAGCAGCAGCAGCGCAGGCAAGCTCGACTTGCTTGCTAGCCTTGCTGGGCAGCCCGGCTTGGGGTACTGTGGCGCGCTGGCCCACGAAGCAGCCCTAGCCAGCCTGCACGCCACGGCCAGCCTAGCTGGGCCTTGTGAGGGCTGTTGTGGCTCGGTGCCTTGATGCTTGCGACCCCTAGCCACTTGCCTCCGATCCGAGGCGTGGCTAGGGCTCGTGCTATCCTCGTAATTTTAGCACGATATATTATTTGATTTTTTTTCGTCTTCGTCGATTCCTAAAATCGACACGACGCACGACGCTCGGTTTTGACGTTCTAAGCTCATAATCCGACTTCTTTGTTCGTAAAACTCTATTCTCATTTAATCCTTCGGATTAATTCATTGCTTTGGTTCGGTTACACGATTAGGTGGGACCCGAAGGGTTCAGTCAAGATTAAGTTGTGTCGGAAGCGGCCTCCAACTAGGCATTCCGATCACTTGACCTCACTGAATAATTAGCTTTCTAATTAATTCCGAACCCTCTACCTCTAGCTTTTGTCTTGAAATTGCATTTTATTAAACAAAAATAATTGGGGTGATCAGATGATTGACAATTATAGCACCATCTAATACAAGCACAATTCCTAAAACTAGTGCTGTGCATACTCTATAAATAGTAATATTTTAATCATTGGACTTTATACTTGTTTTCATTTTCTTATATTCCTTTATCTTTGAAAATGTTATATTGTGAGCTATTAGGCAACAACCTCCAAGTTAGTCTTGACTAGTTTGGGTAAGACTGCCATATTGATCTCCCCAGACTTGCTAATTCTTGGGTTTATGGTTTAAAAAAATATATATAATTAATTGTTTTAGTTGAATATAGTGTGCTCTCTGCAGTCTGAAGGCACATATCTTATAATGTGCTTATGAATTTTTATAGAATCTTGACTCTCTTTTCACTGCTTTGCCATCTTTATGTAGGTCAATTCAGGGTCCAAGAATCAGGTTGTTGTCATGCCTGATGCAAGCATGGATGCCACGCTTGATGCTCTGGTTACTTCTGGATTTGTTGCTGCAGGAGATCCCCACATGTCACTCAGCTCAGTGATTTTTGTTGGAACGCTACACCATGGTTTTGCAACATTAACATTTTGTTCAATTTATCTTTGTTCATAGCATATATGGTATATCTAGTGAGGCCAATGGCATTACATTTTTGAGCCAAAACATGACAACTGATGCAGGGTTTGCTGGAACTTTTCAGGGAGAAAGAACTTGTCAAACGTGCTAAAACCCTATCAGTAGCTGGAGGAACAGATGCAGGAGCAGATGTTGGTCCAGTGCTCAGCAAGGGGGTACGAACAAGTACATGTTGTGCATGGTCACCTGTGGTTTGACTTCTACTATATAAGTTGATATTTGACATAGTTTATCAACTTGTCTTTGATTTGGTGTTTAAACTAACTATTCTGATGTCTAGAAATTTTATTGTAAGATATATTTACAACATTTCACTTGTATTAATTTTTTATTCTTTTCTCCTGTCACCTCTGTCAGACTAATGTGCTTGTGAAATGTTGCAGGTGAAAGATGGAATATGTAGATCTGTACAAACTTCAGTTGAAAGTGGTGCTAGACTTATCCTTGATGGAAGGGACATCATGGTACTGTCCCTGTATTGTTTTAGGCTATTAATATTCTAGCTTGCATCTTCATCTTTGAAATATAAAGTTCTGTTGTGTAAATAAATGTATAAAGTATTTCAAGGCAGGCTCTACCATAATAAGTCTCATGTTGATAAGTATTGGCTACTTAAAGTCGAAAACAAAGTATGTGTTGTTTGGACTTCGAATGGATTTGGGAAGTCCCTTTAATGGATGATATTATCAAATTAGGTAAAAAAAACAACCTTTTCTACCACAATCACTCTATTCTTTCCCACAACCCCTAACCTTGGAAGTTGGAATAACAACAATGAAGAAGATAGAGTAGGGAAAATATGCATATGCTGGCATGAATTTGTTGTGGATGCTGAAGTGATGTATACTTTATGGTCTTGATGTTAGAGTAGTCTTCATAATAGGTTTTGTGAATGATGGGAAATTAGTCCCACATTGGTAGAATAGAAGTTGGTTATATAGGTTAGTCTATATAGCTAAATGTTGGATGGAAGTCCCACATTGGTAAAATAGAAGAAGTTAGCTTGTTCAATTCTATATAACTTGTTGTTGGAAATAAGCTCCCACATAGGTTGAATAGAGGATATTAGCTTACTCTATTCTATTTAACTTGATGTTGGGAAGAAACTCCCACATTGATTAAATAGAGGATATTAGCTTACTATATTCTATTTAACTTGATGTTGGGAAGAAACTTCCACATTGGTTAAATAGAAAAGTTTAACTTGAATCTAGTCTATAAGTTACTCTATTCTATTTAATTTGATGTTAGGAAGAAAGTCCCACATTGGTTAAATAGAAAATTTTAACTTGAAGCTAGTCTATAAGTTTAATATTTAGAGCATAACAAAATTTTAAGGTGTGTCATGGGTTATGACCATGGGCCCGATTGGGTGCGAACATATACTTAGGAAAATAATATTTGCTCGCCCGATAGGGTTAAGTTAGCCCGGTCGGGCGCAAGAGCAAACTTATTTTCTGAAGTACAGATGGCCCGCCCAGGCGGGCTTTGCCCGATCGGGCGCGAGCCTAGTTAAAAGATTTGTCCGTTTATTAGCCCGACCGTGCGGGCTTGGCCCGATCAGGCAAGTGTAAGCGGTAAGTTTCCTACGGTTAAATTAATTAGGATAATAGTGACTATTCATTAAAAGTCAGATTATCTTAATTAATTATTTTTTGGAAATGGTGACTCTTGAATTAAAAGGCTGTTTATTATATATTTTAATGACTCCAAAAATTATAACTTACTTTTCACTTTTTATCTTCTTCTTCCTTTTCTATTCTAATTGTTCTTAAAGTGTTCTTTGGGAGTTTAATTACATTGCTTTAATTGATCTCGAACTTAGGGAAAATCCTGGAACCATATTAACCGGTAACCCATAGCAATCATAGTGGGGGTTAAAATTGCTTTAAGGAAACACGTCCCTAATTCTTCATACCCATAATTATTTTCTAACACTTGATACCTTTGATTTGAATCTGCATATATTCTACTTCAAAAGAATTTTGGATTTTTTGGGAGTAGGGACATTATTTGTGAATTCCTTCTTGAGTGATTTAAGACTTGGCTGCATGAAAAGATGTTTGCATAGCCTCTATATTCATTATTCAAGCTACACTCTCCATGATCTTAGTTGTTTTACTTTCTAGAATAACTCTCTCTTTCTTTCTTGTCCCCCTTTTCTCCCCGTGGTGTAGTGCTTTCATTTACCCTCATAAAGGCTCCATTTCCATTTGACGACTAGTGTTTGAAAAGGCGCACCTAGGCGCTGAGGCGCAAGGTGTTAGGGATCATGCGCTTTTTGTGGTCAAGGCGAGGTGATTTTGATGAGGCGCAGCTTAAGGCGCACAAAGTTTTTTTTTCAAATTTTTTTCTATTGTTTATTATATGCGCCTCACTTCAATGAGGCTCACCTTAGGCACAAGGAACTCTGAAACGCCTTGGTGTACTTTAAGCCTTTTTATACATTGTCGGTGACTGGGCTCATTGTTGATTCTTGAAGCCGTCCCATATTGATGAGTGTTAATTTGAGTTGAGAGAATATGCTGCTTATATCTTCAATGTACAATTGCTTTTAATTAGTCACATACTTACATCTCACTGTTGCTAATCTTTATCTGGATCAGACTGTATAGTGTATACTTTCTGAAGAATTGTGAATTTTGGGTTGTTCCCAGGTTCCAGGATATGAGGGTGGGAATTTTGTTGGCCCAACTATCTTGAGTGACGTCACATCTAGTATGGAGTGTTTTAAGGTGCCTCTATCGTTGCACCCTCCTCTATGCGAATTGTGTTAAATTAAGGATTGTTATTTGGATTTTCATACATATAACAGTATTCAATTTTTTGTTAACCAGGAAGATATTTTTGGACCAGTATTGCTATGTACACAGGTGACATTTGGTGACTTAAAAATCTTTTCTTCTCCCTAAATTTTTCCTCCTGCTACAGAGTAATAATGGTGTTACCTTTTCTTTGTGACAGTTCAAATTTGTTTGAATGCAGGTCCACAGTTTAGAAGATGACATAGCCATCATCAACCAGCACAAGTACTTCTCAACTCTCTTCTGCATTATCAGCTTTTATTGAAGTTTGGGTTTTAGTTTCACTATTTGGGTTTTCCAGCTTTTATTGAAGGTGGTTTGCTTTATGTCTGGATTTATATTTGATACCTAGTAATTTAAATTAGTTATCTGATGATTACATCTTGATGGAGCTCTGAGGCAGTATATTAGACTTTTAATGATTTAGCTCAGTATATAGTTAAACCTCTTCATCCAAAGTATTTTTTGCTCATTTAGGTTTGGCAATGGAGCATCTATTTTTAGTACATCTGGTATTGCAGCAAGGAAGTTTCAGAATAAGGTTGAAGTAGGGTTGGTAAGCTCCTTGTCTTAAACCAAAACGGCCTGCTTAATGTTCCTGTTCCTTGGACATTGCCAAATTTTACCTTCTAAAATGCTCTGTGATTGGCTCAGATTGGGATCAATGTTCCTGTTCCGTTTCCATTGACAAATTCTTCGGCTGGATCAACAGAATCCTTTGCAGGCAATATCAATTTCCATGGTCTCTATCTCTGTCTTTTTCCGTTAACCCTTTCCCCCTTTAATACTTACACCACACTCTTCACCCCCGTCCCTTACACCTGATGTGAATGCACTAGTGTATACACACTAAGGTTGTGTTTGGTCATAGTTAACATTTTAAACTGAAATTTATCTTCAATGTAAATTTTGGTTTCAAAGTACATTTCCTTTGTTTGGTTTCTCATGTAAAATTAGCAGAAAAAGGAAAAAAGAGAAATAGAGGGGAGAGGATGGAAGGGAGAAGAGAAAGGTGAGGATATGGAGGAATATATTGTATTCCTTACACGAGCAAAATATTTTCAACTACTGAAATAAACAACGTAATAATATTACTTCTCACCCCTTATAAAACCAGAGGAAAAAAAAAAAAAAAAAAAAAAACTAGTTCTTGACTGTAAAATGACTTTTTGCCAAGAGAGGGTGTGGCTATTTGTGTGTAGTATTTAAATCTGTGCTTTTGCATAATATTCTCTTTAGACTGCTCTCGGACTACATTAACTGATGCAATTTTGTTTTTTGTTCAACATTAATTAAAATATGTAGGGAAAGCAGGTATTCATTTCTATACACAGGTTAAAATAGTTGCACAACAATGGAGGGACCTAACCTCTAAAGGAATCTTATCAAGAAAAACCTTAACATCTGAGGGGGAGGCATCAAATCAAGCTCTTCCCGTGACCGTGTCTTCATCATCTGATACTGATTCTTTCAGCCATGAATCCTCGGATTCAGTCCCAAAATCATCACGAGAAGAAATGACATATCTGAAAAGGCCAGTAAATGGACTTTCCATTGAAAATGACATGTCCTGCACTGCAACATCGTTGTCATTTGCTAGCACATTTGGAATGAATCTACCTCAAACATCTACATTTACTGAGGTGTATCTTTCCACAACTCAGGCCTTTGACAATTTTGCCATGGATTTAAATGCAGAGAGAGGAAATTTCTCAATGGAGTCTCACGGGAATAATCTAAACCCGCAGCTGGTTGTTACTTCTGAGAGTAATTACATGTCGATGGTATCGCATGAGATGGGACTTATTTATCAATTTGAAAGAGCTTATACAGTTGCACCTACAATTTCTGAGCAAATGTCTACCTACAACGAGTGTGAAGATTGAACCAACTCCGAGGTTGTCACATATGCCTGTAATGCCCCAAAAGGCTTGTGATTTGAACCCTATGGTTGGGGATACAAGTCATTAGACTCATGACCAAGCACCATCATCGGTATTACCTACAATAGAGAGTGTGATGATTGAACAAGCAGATCAGAGGCTTTCATATATGCCTACAATGTCCCAAAAGGCTTGTGATCTAAACCCCATGGTTGGGGATACTAGTCATGACCAAGCCCCATCATCGGTATTGCCCACTTCTGAAAGAACAAACTTTTAGCCTTTGGCATTCAGCTCCATAGATTGTGTAGAACAGGTGACCTAACAGGCTGACATCAGATTTTAATGTTGATTTCTTAACCTAGTTATTCACAGAAATTGAACATTCTTCTTGGGGGAAAGGGAGAGGACTGAGCTTTGGTAACAGTTATTAAACGCTGCTTATCATGTTGCGATCTCCCAAAGTCCCAGTCTCCCACCATTGCTGTCCGAATACACCATAAATGTATGTCATATCACCTTGTTTTGATTTGAGTAATGGTACCCACTCTTAAATTGTCCATTTAGCTCTAAAGTAGTAACCTAAACCAATCAGAGTCCTAGGTTTTTTTATCTTAGAAGACAACACGTGAGATATGAACATATATGATCATTTACTCATTGAACATTGAACATTTTTCTATCAACCAAATATATCAATCTCTATATATACCAACAAGTTAAGTTTGGCCATTTTTGTATTGATTCCATTAAAGCAAATGGCTTTCAATTTTCCATTGGTATTAAAGAGTAGCTTATATTTCGCCACACCATGTCATCCACTTCTTACAAACTTCAAGGAGAAAATGTAGGATTTTTCTCCAAACTAAGCTTATTTGGCAAAATAATTTACAAAGAGGATGCGTGGCAAAACTATTCACCAAATTAAGCTTTTGGGATAAAATGCTGTCTTGGACAATGTTTTTAGTTGTTAACTTTTTTTTTTTTTTTTTTTTTTTTAATTTTGTAATTTCTGATTTTTAAAAATTAAAGAAAAAAAAATTGAATTGCACATAAAACGCTGACCGAGACAACGTTTATAGTGTTTTTTTTTTTAAATGAAACGCTGCCTCACTTAGCGTTTCTTGCGTAATTATGTTCGTTTTTTGTCGTAGGATTTTCACTTCACTCATCCTCAAATTATCACTCTCACTCTCTCTCACTAACGGACCCATACACTTTCACACTCAACCACCGCCACCGATGCTGCCGTTGCCGCCACCGCTGCTGTCGCCAGTCGTTGTTGCTACTGCCCCTGTTTCTCTCACTCACTCACTCAATTTTATGGTAAACCCTAAATTCAAATTACTGTAATATTGATAATTGCTCTTAATTGTGGTTGATTAATGTAATGTCAAATTGTTGCTAATTATTAATGAAAATGTGGTAAATTGTTGATAATTATTGATGGTGATGTGGTACATTGTTGATGAAATTGTTCATGAAATTGTTGATGGTAATATGGTACATATATGTGAAATTGTTGAAAATATTGATGGTAATATGTGAAATATAATTGTTGATTAGTATAGATTATAATTGGTGAGAAGACTCTTATTTCATTATTGATAATTTTATCTATCAATTCATATTAGTGTAATGTTTATAATATTAGTTTGTTAGTAATCGTTTTGCATTGCAACCTAATCTAAGAGTTTATAAATGGAGTTAATGCTTAGTTTGTAGGCAACCTTTTTTACCTCGCTCTAGATTTCAATTATCCTAAAATGTGTTTTGGTTATGTAAAATATGGCTGCACAAAATGTAGTTTTGTTATGCCGGTGGGGAGGTGAAATTCTGTTTGATGGACCCCGTGTCGAGTATAGTGGAGGAAATATGGAACCACTAACACTTGAACCGAACATGACTTTCAATGATTTGATGAATGAGGTTCATAGTAGTATTGGTTCAACCCCAAGGAATGTTGAACTAAACATTAAAATGAGGTTAGAGACTGGCAATGGGGTTCAAGTGTTACCTGTTTCTACGAATAAGCATTTGAAAGCTTTAAGGAGCGTTGTTGCAATGAAGGGTGTTCCCACTGAGATATATGTAGAAATGGTGCCTATATGTACCCAACAAAGTACTCGGCCATAACAACAATCTACATATATTTCCGATTACAACACAAAGCCCTTCCAAGTGCCCTCACACGACATTCCATCAACTGAATATGGGATGGGATCTTTCAGTCGAATGCTGCATGACGATCAATTTCACATGCCGTTTAGTTCTCATATAGCTTCACCTGTACATGGGGGGGCATATGTGGCAATGACCGGCCAACCTGGGCCTTTGACATCAAACACCGTCACACCTTCACCGATGCAATTGCATAGTTATTCGCCTATGCAAGATGTTGTTCAAGCATCGCGGTCTCAACTTGTGCCTAATCATCTTAAAACTATTGTGAATAACGAATTGTATGTGTATGATGTGTATACAAATGATGAGGCCGAGAGCGGAGAGGAAGAAGATGGACTTCAAAACATGGATGTTAAACCTGCACACATGGAAGTTGGTGAGCCCCTGGTTAGAACTCCCGTACCTTGGTTCAGTCACGTAAAAGAGAACTATGAAGTTGATTAGTATTGGGCCGAATCGGGTAGCCATACATTGTTTGTTCCCGGGGGAGAATTTGAGAAGGGGATGTATTTTGAAAGTAAGAAAATGCTTCAAGAAATGGTGAAGATGTATTCTATACAGAGGAATCAATTCTACACCACAGTGACATCGAATGAGAGTGTCCTTCATTTGTTGTGCAAGAAGAAATGTGGTTGGATGCTACGGGGTACCAAATCAAGTGAGCACTCGCGTGGCTTTACCCTAGTCACGTACAAAGGCCTGCACCGGGAGAACTGTGTCACAAAAGTACTATCTACTGATCACCCACACTTGGATTCGTCCATAATATCAAAGTATGTGAATTCCTTTGTGCGGAAAGATCTGTCCTTGAAAGTTGAATTCATACAGGAACTCATCTTCAAGCAATTTCAATTTGATGTTCCGTATCGAAGAGCATGGTATGCCAAGGAGAAAGCTATAGCTGAAATATTTGGGGATTGGGTGAGTTCTTACGACAGACTTCCGCACTTCATGCAAGCACTCCAACAGTCAAACCCGGGAACGTATGTCATAAGGAAACACAAAACTCTGGTGGACGGTGTATACTACAGCAACATGGAAGTGTTTGAACGAGTGTTTTGGGTCTTCGATCCTTGTATCGAAAATTTTAAACATTATATTCCTGTTATCTATATTGATGGGACGCACTTGTACGGGAAGTATAAAGGAACACTGTTGGTTGCTATAAGTGTGGATGCAAGCTTCCAAGAATTTCCGCTAGCATTTGCGGTGGTTGAAGGGGAAAACACTTCCAGCTGGTCTTGGTTCCTGGGCTGCATTCGGGTTCATGTCACGCAACGAGATGGCCTCTGTGTTATATCTGATCAGCATCCTGGGATCATTGCAGCAATGAATGATCCTAACGTTGGCTTCACCGAGCCGTGAGCCTATCACAGGTTTTGTGTTCGCCACATAGCTTCTAACTTGAAGACTCACGTGCGAAGAAACGACATGAGAGATATGTTCAAGGCTGCGGCATACCAAAGGCAGGAAAGAAAACTTCAAGCTGATCTGTGTTTCATCGGTGAGGCATGTACCAAGGCCATGGAGTGTATTGTTCAAGTCCCGTTCACTATGTGGTCTCTCTTTCATGACGCTGGTCGCAGATATGGGATATGTACTACAAACTTCTCTGAAACATTTAACAATGTGTTGAAGGGAGCTCAGTTTCTACCGATCATGTCCCTTGTCGAGTTAACTTTCCACAGAGTTAATTGGTATTTGGTATATAACGTTTTCAATGACCAGATATCATGGACGGAGAAGATAGGACACCCGAACTTGTGGACCATTCTGTCCTGACACTACAGGATAAACATCGGAGCGTTGACATATGGGACCAGACGGTAATATTTCATCTGTTATTTCATGTACTTTTTTTTTATACGTTGATGTACTATCTAATACTAATTACAGTCGTACAATGATTTTTCAGGTTGATGTAGCGAAGATGCTGGTTTGCAGGCACTACACTACCAGGGTTATGGGCGACTGGGTTGTCGATCCACGCATTATTGCGGTACGTCAAGTACGCTGGCTTTGGTGGTATTCATCGAATGGCGTTTAGAAAGATCGATCGAGCGCTTGTCACTGCGCTAATGGAGAGATGGAGACAGGAGACGCACTCCTTCCATCTACCTGTTGGGGAGGCGACCGTTACATTGCGGGACGTCACGATACTCACGCGTCTTCCTATACATGGGACTACGGTGACAGGACATGCGTTAGTCGATCCCGTTGGTTTGGTAGCCCGGGTTCTCGGGGTTCAGCCGGGTCCTGACGAGATTAGGGGCTCCGGGTTGAGGACCGGCTGGATACGCGATACTTTCCGTGCGCTGCCTGCGGACGCTGATGACGCCACGGTTTAGAGACACGCTCGAGCATACTTGTTCCTGCTCATATCGGGCGTGTTGTTCGGCAACAAGAGCGGGAGCCATATCCAGCTTATTTACCTACATCTGTTAGACCACGACCGGGATCATATTCGTGGATACAGCTAGGGTAGTGCCTGTTTGGCAACGTTGTATCGCCACCTGTGTAGAGCCTCCCACCGTGGTTCACTCGAGATCGGAGGACCTCTGATTGTGCTTCAGGTAACCCACCTAATTATCCATAAGCTAGTTTGGCAATGACTTACGTTATACTTAACATAGTTTTGTATTTTGGTATTACAGTTATGGGCTTGGAAGCACATCCATGTTGGCAGACCAGGTAGGCTTGTTGTACATCGTCGGGGGCAGCAGGACCGGGACGAGCAGTTTCAGGCGTACATCGCTCCACCACTCCCTACACCTGATGAGGCGTATGGTTGCAGGTTTGTAACATTTGTCATTCTTTTTTGCCCCCATACGGTTTCATTTTGCTGGATGACAAACTAAAACAATTTGTTGCCATAGGTGGGTGGTCCCTAGACTCACACATGCGCATGCGGCGAGGGGTCTTCCGTACTACCGAGACGCCCTTAACCGACTCACCGAGGATCAAGTGGTAACTTAAATGATACTTGTAAACATTTATGTACTGTGTATACTGTCTGTGGACTAACCTATTCATGATATTACTGTTGCTGTGTTATTGCAGATGACATGGGATCCGTATGTACCTGACTTGGTAGATGTCATGCCTGCACATCTGCTGGATCATCAGGCAGAGTGGCGTGCCAGAGTCCCCCTGATCTGTTTCGAGGTTGTGGAGAGTCACTTACCCGACCGAGTCATGCGACAGCTTGGACTACGCCAGCCTATCCTCCAGCAGTCTGACACTAGTGTATGCCTTCACGGCATTGACCGTCGGGGAAAGGGGGAGACAAACTGGTCAGTGGAGCATTGGTGTTTCCTTAAGCTATGGCAGCAACGCTTGGAGTTTGTTGTTGGAGGTGATCCGATGTAGGGTGTTATGGATCCTCACGATCGGTACATGGTGTGGTACAGGCGTATTACACGACGTTTCATCAACCGCAGCTACACACCACCATCCACACATTACCATCCAGCATATGACATCATTACAGGATATGTGAGTTTCTTTTATTCTACTTATTATCCTCAATTTTTAAATTTTTATATCATACAACCGACTAATCGATGATTACTGCAGGCGGCGGATATGGTGGCGATGGTTAATACACTATCAGTCGCCCTTGCAGACGAACCCACCAGAGCCCAGGTCGAGCGGGTGTGAGATATGGGCGTCGCTACCTTACAGAGATATGGTCACGGCCATCTCATCCACCAGCGGGACAGTCATGATGGTCACTCCGTCCATTCACAGTTCGAGCTCGGCCAGAGCAGCGCTGGAGGTGATCCTACGTCACCCAAAGATGCAGAGGATTACATCATCCACAGTACTGCGCCCACCAGTACCCAGGAGGACCCATCGTCTAGCTAGCAGACTCCCCCATCGCCCCGAGACCCATTCACCACCGTTTCTCATTACAGGCAGCGTCGTGTCAGACAGAGGGACGACAGACAGGATACAAAACCGTTACCCCGAATAAATGAGTCGGGATAGTATTATCTGTTTTATTTGCTGTAGCCGGATATTCTAGAATGATGTATATAACACTTACATTATTAATATAATAAATGTTTTTTGAATGAATCTGTGTGTGGTTTGAAGTTTAATTTCCTTATTTGTCCAAATCGGACTTATGTCAGTCAAAATAGATCCTTTTAGACTGATATATATCAAACAACAGACATTTGGGCTTCATAATGAGAAGCGGGGTAGAAGCGATGGCCCGTGGTGGTTCATGGTGGTTGTAGTGCTGTTGGTGGTGGTTGGTGGTGGTTAGTGGTGGTCGACGGTGGTGGTAAGGTTGGGGCTGGTGGTGGAGGTGGTTGTAGTGTTGTTGGGGGTGGTTAGAGTGTTTTGAAGTGCATAAGGGTGGTCGAAAGTGGCGGGAGGTGGTGGTTGGTGGTGGTCGACAGCAGGGGTTGGTGGTGCGGGTGGTGGCTTATTGAAAAGGCTGGGGGTGGTGTGTTGGGGGCAGAAATGGGGCAGAAATTAGAGAAGAAAGCTTGCTGGCTGTTGGTATTGCAGTCCAGTAGAAAAACGTTGTCTCAGACAGCGTTTTATGTACAACAAAAAATTTGTACATAAAACGCTGTCTCGGGTAGCGTCTTATGTGCAACAAAAATTTTGTACATAAAACGCTGTCCCAGACAGCGTTTTATGTGTATTAGAAAATAAGAAATTCAAAAAAAAAAAAGTCAATGTGAAACGCTGTCCCAGACAGCGTTTTACAAATTGATTTTTTTTTTTTAAAAAAAAAGGACATAAAACGCTGTCCGAAAAAAGTAGTTTAGTTTGGTAAATAGTTTTTCCACGCAACCAATTTGCAAAATACTTTGTGTTTTAAGCTCACTTTGGAAAAAATCCGAAAAAGTAGCCCCTACTATAAAAACATCAACTTACTAAACAGCACTATGAATTGATCTTTATATGATCTGCCTTAGGAAATCACTATATGATCTTTATATTAGTGTGTTTGGTTGGCTTGGTGTGTATCCTTAAGTTTTCTTGCATGGTGCCTTTTTTAGGTCTTACCATTCAATCTATCAAGTACAATGTGCAGTTTTCTCTGTCTGACTAGTGACTGCGTAGTAATCTTCTTTGGTAACTTGATGGTTGACACAGGATCCAGGGAACCTTGGTACACTGCTTAGATCGGCCCTGGCGTTCAAATGGGTAAGTGACTTTGCATCCTCTTGTGCTTCTACCTTTAGATCTTACTAGATGGAAGCCCGTGCGATGCACGATTTTTTCATCTAAGATTTTTAATTATTTGATTTATTGTATTTAATAATTTTAGAAAAAATTACAAAAGTTTAATATATATTTTTTTTTTACTATAATTTATAATGAATTTATTAAATACAAATAAATTGTAAATATGATATTTTTTCCGTTATATAAAATATTTAATGTGAAATGATAAATTTTTAATAATTTAAATCCTAAATCATTATTCATTGTTTTACCATATCTTTTATTTCGATAGATATCTTTTATTTCGATAGAATCACCAACCTCGTCCACAACCAACCTACTACATCAATGGATAAATTGAACCGTGAAATGCTAGCCAAACTGAAATTGATATAAATAAATCTTTACATTTATATAAAATAAATCAATATATTTACCAATAAATGAAAAATTGTTGCGATATAAAATCAAATCTATGCATTGAAATTTTTTCATTATCTCCAAAAATAACCAAAATCTTCCATATATTAAGTATACAACATCTAATCGTATGCCATTACATAAACAAATAATTGTTAAGTATCCTAAATAAATACATTGTAACTAATAATTACAAATATAAATTTAAACATAAGATTTTAGAAATTACCCGGACATTGTTGACCAAAAATAAAACATAAACATAAAATCATTGAGTATCCCAAATTAATACAATGTAAGTAATAATTAAAAATACTAATTTAAACATAGGATTTTAAAAATTAAGTTAAAATTACCCGGTCATTGATGACCAAAAATTAACACAAAATTACTAACACAAAATTCGCTTGATGGGGTTTTTTATTGGTACGAAATTTTGTTTGGTGTCGTATGATGTGTCAATTTATAATGGTAGGTATCACAAATTTTAATTTAATTATAATTAACGAACAATTTGTATTTCTTATCATAAATACTATCAAAATTTATCTTATAATGATAGGTATCAAACTTTATTATAAGCGTTTATCATTTAAATAATTTTTAGTATATTTTTTTTGGATTTCTTATACACGTAGTATTAAATTAATAAATTTATCTTTTCCTATATTTTTACTTTATTTTTTGTCCATTAAAATAATTTAATTCGTGGATTATAATCTACATGGCATTAAAATTTTAGATATATCAAATCTAATTCGTTACTTTTATCTAGGTGGCGACATAATTTTTTAATTCAAAAATAAAATACAAATCTTTCTTCTTATTGGTCGAAATAAGTATATTTCTTATGTGGCGCTCCGAATGCTCTCCAAAAATGCCTACTTTATTTATATATATTAGATTTGTGGGGTTGCCAAAGGTTTAAATGTTGTAAAGAGAAATTGTGAATATTTTACAAGTGTATGTCATTAGCAATGTCCATTTCACACTTTATAGATGTATCATGTAGCTGGTCATGAATAGTTTTTTAATTCGTCATGCCAAAGGAATGAAATTGAAAAACCAACCTGCTTTTATCATTTTAAGACTTCCAATTTACCTGAACTTCTGTGCAATAATCAGATTCTTATTCTTTGATTAGATCATAGATGTACGACCAAAATCTTTAAAAAAAAACTTTGTACTTTTTCTTTGATTAAATACTAGTAGGAAAAAAGGAACTACAGCATCAACTTATAGAAGAACATATGTAAACACTTGTATTCATGTTCAACAGAATGGTGTTTTTCTGCTTCCTGGATGTTGTGATCCTTTCAATGAGAAGGTATTCAGGGCTAGCAGAGGTGCGCCATTTCAGATTCCCCTAGTTTCGGGAAATTGGGCACATCTTGAAGCTTTTAGCAATGAAGTTCAAGTGAAGATGTTTGTTGGTCACCCTGCTATTAGCAACGGATTCAAGCCTGTTCATAAGTTGTCCCAAAGGCTTGCACATTCTCTGGCTGATACGCCATTATGTTTACTTGTAGGCAGTGAGGGTATCGGTCTTAGGGAGAGAGCAAGGGAATTCTGTGAACTGGTAAGCATACCAATGGCTGATAATTTTGAGTCTCTTAATGTCGCAGTGGCAGGTGGAATATTAATGTTTATGCTAGAATCTGAGTTAGAGGACGCCCAGACTTAATTTCAGATGCAAGTCTCTAGTAGACCGGTGCCTTAGTTCCACATGTGCAGCTTAAAGTAAATGATAGAGAGAAGGTAGAAATGAGTAAACTATATTGTAAAGTTTTTTTTTTTTTTTTTTTTTTTGTAAAATCATACTTCGTATTATATACTTTAGGGTTTCTACTTAAAGATTATTACGGAGTATATGTTGAATGTAATTGCGATCCATGAGTTAAACAACATAAATAGTTTCATAGATTGATTTGCCATGGTCTTTGGTATACAAAGATGCTCTATTGCTCTCCATTATAGGGGCACTTCCACCAATGAGGCAATGATTGATCACCAATTCAAGTACGTGAGTACGTCTAAATAGGAGATAAGAATCATCAACGTTACTGATTTAGGCCTGTTTGGTGGTAGCGATTGAGGTAGCGGTTAGCGATAAGAATCATCCACGTTACGTGATTACGTCTAAAGTTTAAACGCCGACGTTAAAGCTCTCCCTCTCCTCTAGAACCTTCTTCTTCACTTGCTTCATTTCTTCATCGAAATCATGCCTCGTCGTTCTGGTGGTAATTTCTCTATCTCTTTCCTTTTTCTTTTGTTTTTCCCTTCTTTTAATTCATGTTATTACTATATTTTAGGAATTAGGGTTTTCATTATTCATCTAGAGTCCAATTTTATTTTGATTTTTTAGGGTTTTTTTTGTTACTTATTTGTCAACGTTTTGATGGAAATAGAAATTGATACGGAATATTAAATGATGGAGCTTAATTTTTTTTTATTTATTGAAGTTTTAATTTGTAATTCGTAATGGCTCAATTTTTGTATCAATAATGGTGAGAATTAGATTAAGTTGATGTTTTGACATGATTTGATTGAGGGTTTAATGAATTATATTCTAATCTATGAGATGAGCTTAATTAGGGTTAATCTGATCTCAGCTGGTTTATGTGAAAAATTATAACTTCTTGTTAAGGGTAATCTAATCTATAAATTAGATATCCTTTGATTTGGTTTTCTCATCTTTTCTGAAGATAGCTATAGAAATGAAATATCTGCGCAATTATAAATCTGTAACTCTTTTTGAACGTTAGAAATGTGTATGTTCAGATTGAACCTGGTTAATTTCTGTTACTCAGATGTTCTGCTTATGACATCTTCGTTCGAAGACTAATACTCTTATTCAGCGATTTGTTTTTAATTGAATTTATTTTAAGATTACCAAGTTTTGATAAATCAGGAGGAAGATCTGCTCCTCGTCCCACGGCTCCGCCAGTCCGTAACCCTCCTCAGCCAGGTACATTGGCTTTCTTGTCTGCCTTCAAATTACTTATCCTTTTTTGAATAACTCAAGTAGAATTTGTGATAATCAACTGAAGTTAACTGTTGTAGCTGGCATCAAAATGCTTATTTGTAGTTTTCACTCTCTTGTATGCACTGCTCACGTGTGGTTAATTATTTGCAGCTCAACGTGCTCCTCCACCAGCCCCTGCTCCTGCTTCCTGCGGCGGATCTATGCTTGGGGGTCTCAATGCCACTATAGCTCAGGGTATGCAAGTCATTTTGTAGATGGTAGCATGAAAAAAATTTAAGGGCATACTATTCTCAAATTTCTTATTTGTTTTCTTGTTCTTGCTTCTGTAGGTGTTGCCTTTGGAACTGGTAGTGCCGTGGCACATAGGGCTGTGGATGCTGTTGTTGGTCCTCGCACAATCCAACATGAAACTGTTGTTAATGAGGCAGCTGGTGCTTCTCCAGCTTCTGTTAACAACAATGTTGGTGATGCTTGTGGAATCCATAACAAGGCCTTCCAAGATGTAATGTTTTCGTTTTACTTTGAAGTTTGATATTATTAAAGAATCAAGATGTAATTTAATCTAACTGCATCATTTAGCGACAGACCATTTCCTATTCAATAATAATATGTTTAACCGCTGAAAAATGAAGAAAATCAGGTTATGATTCTGGGCTGCTTGACAATCTCATTTTTGATTTTTTGTCAACGTGCAGTGCCTGAACAATTTTGGGAGTGAAATCAGCAGATGCCAGTTCTACCTTGATAAGTTGAGCGAATGCCGCAAGAACTCTGGTATATATTTAGTACTGGTGGGCTGATGCCTATTGTTATGCCACTTTTTAAATGCTTTGATGTCTATGGTATTGGTGACTCCTATTCATAGTTTTAGCCTGGTGGATATTTCAGATGCTACCAAGCTAGGTGATTGAATAAAGATTTCTTTGAACTTTCTATATTGTTACGGGATGGCTTACGTTCATAATGAGTAGACTGCTTTGAGTGTTCATGACTTGCTTTCACAATGGGTCGACTGTTTTGAGTGTTCATGACTTGCTTTCACAATGGGTCGACTGTTATGTAGCTGTCTTATCATTCCAAGATTCAAGGTCTTCTGCACTTGTTTTGATTCTGCATTTCTGCATGGAGCTTAACTGCTCAATATATTCATTTTTGTCAATCACAAATTCACAAGAGACGAGGTTTTCTAGTGCTAAAGAAAATATACTATGGAGTATGAGAATTTTGACTTTTTTTGGTTCATCTGATTTTGTACTTTTTTTTTGGTGAATTTTCTGAACTTATTTCGTTTGAAGTTATTGTCTTAATTTATATCATTTGAAATTAATTTTTGAAACTAATTTTTGAAACCATTATCAAGTGAGTCCTAAGTGTGTTTTCTTCAATCAAATTGACATATGATTCTTGTTTGAGTCAATTAAGGCTAATTTTTTTTTTAAATTATAATATAATTATAGAGAAACTAGAATTTATATATATCTGCTTGGGCACGCCTAGTCTGGGCTATTATCCCGAAATTGTTATGATTTTGCCTTTGAGATAGGACTACTTTTAATTCCAGAAGTAAGTTTGTGATTATAGCAAATGTCAAATAATGAAATCTAAGACTATGACTTGATGTTCTTTATAGTTCACATGATTAGGAGATATAAGGAAAATGTGATCATCGCACTTGTAGTGAAGCAATGATGTATTTCACTTGTTTCTCGTCTTTCCTTTTATAATGTTTTAATGATAAGTGGATAGTATTTTGCTGAATTGGATTCGAAAAGTTGGTAACAAACTCAAAATTCATGATACATTGCTGCATGAACCTCGAAATCCAATATCGTTTTTCTCGAGAGCTTCCTATCATTTGTTAAATTCATTTTCTTCCACCTCATAAGAAGCCTTGACTAAACTGTATCACTATATGTGACTGTTGAGAGATTTAAGAAGAATTTGTGGTAACACTCGGCAGTGTCGTGCGCTTGAGGTGCGTCTAGGCGCTAAGGCGCTAGGCGATAAGGGGTAAGCGCGCGTCCTTGATGCACTACATTCTGAGGCACAACATAAAGGCGCACTTATGTTTCTTTCCTTGATTTCTTTCAGATTTTTTCCCATGACTTCTTAGGTGCGCCTCACTTCAATGAGGAGCACCAAGGTGCTCTAAGGCGCGCCTAAGGCTCTAGGAAATCTAATCGCCTTAGTGCGCCTTAAGCCTTTTTATACGTTGAGGCTCGGAACACTCGATGAACCACATAAACCTCTTTTTTTTTAATTCTTTCTCTCCCTTCTTCTATAATGTGGTCCTGATTTTTTGTTTCAGATCTAGTGCACTAGAACTCATATCCATTTTCTCTACTCTTTCCTTCACCAAAAAAAATATTTTCTCTACTCTTCCTCTTCCTATGTGCTTCGAGCTCTCTCAACGGACAGTTGGACATCACTATGGGATTGTCGAGTAGCCGGCTTAGCCAGGGCTTAGCCGGATTACCACCGTCGACAAAGACTTGCAAATCCTCAAAATCTATGAGTTGTAAACTTGTTATTAAACTAATTACAACTCTTACAGCTATCAAGTATCAATGTCTTCTTGTTTTATAATGTATATTCTTTCATTGTCTCTTCTTTTTACATGCTGTTCTTAGTGGAGAATTGTAATATTACTTATGTTTTTTTAATCTCGTGCATATGATGGTTCTTAAACGAGCTTGAACCTTAACGACCTCGAGCCGAGCTCGTGAAGTTAAGGCTCGACGAGCTAACGAGCTGAGCCGAGCCTGTGTCAAAAGTAAACGAGCCGAGCTGAGCCTAAGAGGGTTCAGTCTCGGCTCGTGCGATAAGCACCCCTAACTCTTACAATGACTACCAATACAATAACTCTTCTTGATAATCTAGCCATCTGGCTTGTAAGAGATTTTGGGTTCTATAGTGCTTTGGCATCTGTCATCTTTTTAATAATATTATCATATCTACATCAACTATATTAATTGTTTTAAAACATTTATTAAACTTAAATTTGTGTTCATATACAGCACCCGTGCTAAAGACAGCTAGTTTTCCTTCTTCTTTAGATGAGTCCTTGATTTTGAAGGTGAGTTTACCAAATTTTCCTATCATTAGATTATAAAGATAAGTTTTATTATATTGGACATTATGGATGTCATCTAAGTAAAACTTAATCATAATTGCAGAATAAGGCAACTGAAGTAGAACAATATTTGAGCGGGCGATGCATTTACCTTGTTGGTTAGTTCCCAGCTAGCATCAATTTTTTCATTGCAAATTTATTTTCTGTTATTATAAAAAGTGACGTTCAAATGCAGGTCTGATGGGCTCTGGGAAAACAACCACCGACACTATTTCCCCTATTTTCATATTTTTCACCATTAAAAAAATTATTTTTTGAAAAAAAAAATCTGAAAATTAAGTTTACAACCTATATATTGGATTCCCATAAAAAAAAAAAAAAAAGGCATTATTATCACATTTTCACAAGTTTTGAGCCATTATTATGTTAGTGTTATTTGGGTGTTCACTAAAGATTTTAGCTACTGGCAAAATATGCCTCTATAGGGTAAGGTGGGCAACTGATGGTGCATAGGCATGGTGCTGGGGAGCCGTGGGCAGCAAGGCTTAATGCTAGGCAGCCGTTGGGCATTCCTCATCTGGGAAGTTGGTGTGCATGCTCGGGGGGCATGCGAATACACAAATATCCGTTGAGGCCCTTAGGGAACCGAGTCCACTTTCGGAGATCCGATGTTGAGCTATGTTAGTAGCCGTTGATTTTTCCGGTGAAAGCAAGATGCCCGACAAACGAACAAAGAAGTGGGTGACGATCCTTCGCTCACCGGGGCCGACGTAATGTAAATCAACGAATGTACGTAACCTAGATGGAGGCGATGGACCATCCGTCTATTGACCCGGGGCCCTGAAGGGGCGTCGTTTATACTGACTAATTCGATGTCGGGCTGGGAGTTACGAGACTCGCCTAATGTCTTGATGTTGTCGTATGGCGGCGTGCTTTCACTCACGGGGGCCTTGGGATTTCATATATATTTGTTTGCTCTGATTGGATGTTGGACCTAGTATCGGCTGAATGTGGCTGGAGAAGTGCCCGATGTCTAGACAATGTTGCGAGCAGCATTAATAATCTATGTCCCTGAAGATGTTCGGCAAAGTGGTGCTTTGTACCATGTACTTGGCTACCATTGTTGGAGGTCTTATTCGGTGGATTAGAGTTACGGAGGATTGCTTTGCACCGTGGATACTCGATGTCGGGTTACCTTTGCATGTTGGCTAACCATAGGAACATGTGCGGGTGGCCTCTATTCTTGTTGATGTAGTGCGTGGCCTTTCTTCGTTGTTGCTGACGATGGGAATCGTGTCGGTGGTTGTTTCTTTCACATCAAACGGTGCTCGTTGGGGTCTTCCAGCTAATTCATACGGCTACTTTGCGGTCGTAGGGGTGCATGCTTGGTTGGTCTCGACGAAGCGGTACGGTACGCGTGTGAGTGGTATTTGGTTTATTTGGTTAGCGGGCTCCATGCTTGTGTATCGCACCGTTCACCGATGAACCTCTTCATTGATTGCTCCAAGTGCTCTATAGCCTTGGACGAGATATGGTTTTCTGTGTTGGATTCCTATTGATGGTATTGATGTCCCTATAAAATTGAATTCCGTCGGACATCCATTTGTGTGTTAGGTGGACCTCTGCAACTAGGTCTGTTTTCCAACCACAATGGCGAAGCAAAGAATTGTTGGCTTGGAATATGGTCTCTAGTTGTGCCCCGGGATGCAGAATGTTGAGTGGGAATGGACGTTGATTCGTCACTACGCTTTTGAGTGTTTAACGCTAAGCACGAACGACATCCTAACACGAGTTGACCGTCTCCGACAAAGGGAGGGCTCATGCGTGTTGGAGTCGATTGAGGAGTGCTACCTGGTTGATCCTGCCAGTAGTCATATGCTTGTCTCAAAGATTAAGCCATGCATGTGTAAGTATGAACTAATTCAGACTGTGAAACTGCGAATGGCTCATTAAATCAGTTATAGTTTGTTTGATGGTAACAGCTACTCGGATAACCGTAGTAATTCTAGAGCTAATACGTTCAACAAACCCCGACTTCTGGACGGGATGCATTTATTAGATAAAAGGTCAACGCGGGCTCTTCCCGTTGCTCTGATGATTCATGATAACTCGACGGATCGCACTATCTTTGAGCCGGTGATGCATCATTCAAATTTCTGCCCCATCAACTTTCGATGGTAGGATAGTGGCCTACTGTCAGAGTCATTTTTGGTGGACGTAGGCTAGGCCGTCGACCATCCAACATAGGCGCGCAAGGCCTTCGGGATTCCACTTGCTTAGGCGAGCAAGTGCACGCTCGGTTTGAGGAGGACGAGCCAAGTGAGGCTAGAATAACTCACTACCATGTCTAGGACTTGTGAGGTTATCAGAATAACCCCCAAGTGCTTAGGCCATGGTGCTAGCAAAGGCTTGGTCAGCTAGGCCTTGGGCCTATGGCTAGCACGCGCGCGCGCGCACTAAAAAAATCTTGGAGTGTTGGATGAGCAAAACTCTATAAAAACCTTTGATACTTATTGAGGGGACTTATTAGTACCCTAATAGATCATACATGACCATAGGGCCAAGGTTGGGTTCAAGGATCGGGCTTGAGAGCCCATTATTGTGTTACTGTCAGTTGGGTGTTCACTAGTATTTCAAGGCCAGATCAAAATAAAGCTCTTTAGGGGGCGAGTGCTCACTCAAGGGTCAGTGGCTGACTTAAGGGTGTCTCTAGGGCTAGGGGCCTTGGGCATAAGATGGCCTAATGGGACTATAGCACACTTGGATGGCTATGGTGGACACTTGA